ATAAAAGGAATAAATCTCGCTAATCCTCATTTATTACGCTCTGTTTCCTTTATTTTTTAAAGAATACTTTATTACTTTTTAACGCCAGTAATTTATTAGCGCAATAACACATTCCTGCATTATGCTTCGCGCAGAAACTTAATTTTCTCTCACGTTTTATAGTGTAAATATATTTTCAAAAATCGGAAAGAGTTATATATCTTTCCGATATCTCACTGAGGTAAAATTGTCAAAATTCGTGGAGTCGTGAGGGCGAAATAAAATAATTTTGCTGATTGCACGTCTCTAGTGGTCGTTTATTTTGTTCATTTCGAGTTACATGTTGAAAATGAACATATTTGTTATAATTTTGTGATCCATATCTTTTCCTTAAGCTTGATGAATTGTGTGCAACACGAAACATACGTGATTACAAAAGGTCGCGATGTATTTAAACTGTGTTTATGCAGAAAATAATTCTTAGCATGACAGCCTATGCGCATACATCAATGCTTCATGCACAGCATCACTTAATTAGAAGCGTTGTATTATTACAATAAGTCTGCAACAACTATGTTTCGAGTCTGAGATCTGTTTCTGTCTTTCAGTAAGATGCATACTCATGAGAAAGAACTGTTTCGGTAGCCACAAATTGACACTGGAAGCGGTGAGTACCGTAATTTCATTACTATACGAGTTAGCAGGCCCCTTTGGTAATAGTCGTTGGTCAGGTTACAGCTCTTCATCTCTTGAGAGTTGAGCAAAAGTGAACAGGAAATTCATGGAAGCAGTTTCTCCCTTTAATAAAAGCCCTGGATTTTATTTTTAAATAAGTGTGTGTTTTTAGACTTGCGAATTTAGTGATTTTCGTCCAAGGATCTTATTTTGGAAACACGTTTTTAAGATATAGTGATGTATCTGTTTTACGAGTCTCAGTTCATACAACATCGTGGAACAGATTTGTTATGGGGAAAAGTTAGGCATGCTAGTATGTAGCGTGTGTTTTCTTGATTCTGAAATTATAACTTAAATGCCGGGGTAGCGGTGAGAAATGTTATTGAAATTCATGGAACCACTTCAGGGACATGTTTTATGCACAAAGCAACGAAAGTATTCTGTGTAAACATGTTCATTTTTTTTAGTTATGGTCCATTTTTATTTTGAAATGAGGATAAAGATAAAATGTAAATCCGTCCATAAGAAGCTGCTTATTTAGGAATAGCAGATTCCAAGTTTCCAGATTTGACAACAATAAATTACAGAAAATGTTGAAATGGCTGTCTTTGTGCATTCACAATGCGTGTTTCTAATTAAGGATTTTCGCATAATCACAAATTCCAGGCTTGTTACAAATTATCTACGACCAGACTTGAACCCTTGGATATAGTACCACTACACCACTAATTTCCGTAACATACATAATGCTCTTAAGACTCTCCGTTAACAATTAATGAATCTAAGTCAGGTGACCTTGAAATCGCAGCGTCTAAGGACTAATCTTTAGATAGTGTCGAATATTTTAGAAACACTCTGTATACACACATGTTATGTGAAGTGTGCGTCAGTCCTATTTGAAATATGGTATATTCTCATTACTTATACTTCTTGTTGAACACAAACACTTCGGCTCTGGTGGTTATATGCCTTTAAAGCTACCATTTTAGGCCTTGCGACGGGCCGATCTCTCGTCCAAGGGGTCTTACCGAATGTCCATAGATCAAACCAACTAAAAAAGTTGGGGACCCGTAATAGGGTACCATAAAATGTATAAACATTGTTAAACCGGAAAAAGAAGAAGAAGCTACCATTTTAATCAAAGTTCCTAAAGTTCGGTAAAAACCACAGAGCCATTGGATAAATCTGCAAGAGTAATCTAGGTTTCTACAGAATTATGAACAACATATGCAAATATAATTGTAATGTTTTGTTAGAGTGCATAGTGTGAAAACTTCGTCACGGCGTCTGAAGCCAGATTCTCCCAAACGAACCAATCCAAAACCGACGGCCTAACTCCAAATTCCAGAACCCAGCCAATGCACACTCCGTCAAACCTCACCGTGTCATCGTCATAGCCCCATTTGCATTTCTTGATACCAGAGTCGCTACCGCGAGAACTTAATTTGAACTTTGCTTGCATCGTACTTACGGCGCTCAGTAATATCGATCGTGACGGACATCGGCTATTATATTAGGAATAGATTCTCGTGTCTCTGTTCTTGCAAGTTACCGTTTTAAAGAACATTCCTCACCAGAATGCCGTATTCATTTCTTATATCCATTGTCCTAGATTCATTCCCAGTCTACTGCTTATAAGGTCTCCCGAGATGATGTATACACGTAAAAAAGGAATGCTAACCTTGTTATCGATTTTAGTGTGTTGTTTTTACGGAAGACATTGACGGTTGTCATTTTGAACATTACATTAGATTGGCTAATTCACTGAGTGCCAATGCTGACGCATGTAATGGTTTCATTTATTAAAATGTTTATTTCGTTCATTGAATATGTGTATTCGTTTATTGTGGGAGAAATTTTGCATATTAAAGAAGGAACTTATAATTTTGAGAAAGGAAGATTACATCTTTTGATTCTTACTTTTCACTTAGAAAGTGACGTTGCCACATGAGCTAATTCCGACCGTGCTCATCCATTATTCATTTATTGCAGATAGAAATCTGTTCTTGGAGATAATAACAAGATAAGATGCTTCAGTACACATGTTCTCGTGTTTCATTCGTAAGAACTGACTATAATCTAATTCTCACGGATACAAAAAGAAAGAAAGAAGAAAGTCGAGATGACATTTCTTGTATCTATTGCGGGTTATTCTCTCTTGGGTAAAGAGAGAAGTTAAGTTGAAGTGTCTAAGTTTTATAATTCACGAATTAAAAATGCACACAAAATAACAGAGCGAAACCGTCAGAATTGTTACACTATGCATACACTTCCTAAGTTGTTCATTATATCTTGTTCTCCTTATTGCAGATATATTCATCAGATCGAATTATTAAATGAAAGCTGCGTGGAATATTTAAATTTTAGGCCACCATTTCCTTAATATACACGATATATATAAAATAAAGTTTGCTGAAAATAGTTGGGGTTATAGAGCAGATGGTAGTCATATTAATGATTTTGAAAACTAATCGAACCGAAAGTAAGTAGTCTCGTATCTTTCCGACCCAGGGAAGTGACGTCATGTTCTGAGCTTGTATTTTAAACTTCCTCTAATGGCTCTAGTATTAAATGCAGATCAGGGATTCTTTTTTGCGTGTGAGGAAATATTAGAAACCCAAATGGAGGCTGATGTTTGACATGAGCGAAGGAAGTTTAGCGCTACTACGCCTTCAACTTTATTAATGTGTTATAATTGCGAAGGGCAATTGCCAGTTATTGTCGGTGAGCATGAGGGCGTATCGCCGGAGCTGTGGACCGAGTGTTCAAGGCAACTTACTGGAAATTGCAGCTGAGCTTCAACTTGGAAAACCAGTTGCTTCTTGGATGCGTGTACAGGGAGGAAACCGCATTTCTGTCGGTTGTTCGGTAGTTCTGCGTAGGCAAAGGGCCTTCATTCAGACGCTTTCTCTCAGGATACGCGACGCCACCTACTGTTGATCCAGTGGTTTTCTGGCGGTGGTTCAGGAGGAGGGGAGGAAATGGATTCACCCCCTTCACGTCCCATTTCCTCCTACATATCCAGCAAAATCCTTTACCACGTAAGGCCAGTTTTATCTCGCCTGGAGTAATCGGAAATGTCGTATAATCAAGGCTCTTCTTCGATTAATCGAACGATTGAAATAGTTATTTTTTCAAGATTTTTGTTTCATAGCGTACGGAATCTCAACGTTAATTTGAGAGTTGACAACCCGCCAATGGCAAAGGTGTGCAAGTCTGAGGCGCTATTTAAAATTTCATAATGTGTTAGATTTTTATGGCAAGACGCTGGTACTCTAATGCCCAACTCTAAAACTAGAGATACCCACTCCCACCTTCTTTTTGGTCCATGACTGCCTATTGAATACAATAGCGGCTGCCCTTAGCAGTGTATCTGGCAACCACCTCCTAAATCCGCTACATGCAGTGATGTCATGGGATCCTCTAGGTCAGTGGTATTCAACTTTTTTTGTTTGCGTACCCCCAGATGTAATTTCTCTTCAACTTTGTACCCCCAAAGTTGTTGGTGTATAATTCAAATTATACATAGTATATAATCTACGTCTAAAATAAATTACGTTACTGATTATTCAGTGTTTATCGTAAAATAATATATATATTTTAAATTTCATGTACCCCCTAAGATATCTTGGCGTACCCCCGGGGGTACGCGTACCCCAGATTGAACACCACTGCTCTAGGTTTAAATCTGTAGCAGTTAGTATCAGAACGAAAAAAAAAGCAAAGTCTTGACTCTTTCCTGTCTGTAATTTTACTTTCTGCGACTGAGATAATAAAAATTATTGTATATCGTGTCGCGCATGGAACCGAACTAATGTCTCTCGAATAGAAATTGGATAATCAATATCCATCAAAATCGAGTATAATATGAGAAGGGTAATAATACATAACACTCTATCGTCTCTGTTTGCATTGTACAAACAGACTACAAGAAACTAAATTACGTGTCTTGAAGACAGCATACCATACAGCTTGTTTCAAAATTACTTCCAAAGTGGTCAGTATCTTACAGGAACCTTTCACATCAGTGCTGGAAGGAATGTTATTCTCCGTCGCTTTTCGTCACCAATTTCAGTTTTAATGGAAGTCCTTGAAAATGTTGGCGTGTTTATAAACAAAATGCAAATTTGTGTTCTTGCATTAACCGTCTTCAATGCATATCTAGCTCAAGAATATATTATTACGAACTTGCATGTGCTACCTACGTGACTACCAAAATGTTCACATTCGGCAATAGTCGTTCACTTTCGGCGTATTTCGTGAGTCAACTCTTCCGTTCCGCCCGATCCAAAGTCTAAAGTTCCGGGCGCAGGGCCTGGCTGTACCGACGCCCGCCAGTTAGCTTCCGTCGAGGAACGTAATTGGTTCGATGCTTTACAGCAGTACGCTGATGTAGTGCGAAGTTTTTGTTTCCCATCTAACAGTGCGCGTATGCATATTTATATGTGTGATGTGTTTAACGAGTGGTTTATCTTGTCTTATCATTAATATTTTTGGAAAAGTTTAAATAATTTGTTAAACGTGTCGCAGGTGTTTATAAATAAATAATTTAAAGTTTCTTCGTGCGTAAAATAAGTCTTTTTTTTGTGTGTGCTACTACGAATTTGTAACGTCTTTACATTTTATTTAGAAAAGTTTGAACATTTTTGCGGTGGCATGTTCCTGATATCGTATTTGTTTCATTTTCTTCTGTGGCCGGCGGATACATTTGCAGTTTTACACGAAGAAATAGGTAAGCGTGACGTAAAACGTAAAGTTGTTCTTGTGCCTGAAACGTCTATGATCCACACACTCATAGCTTCCACACTACACTATATGGTCGTTAGTGACAAGTTTTACGCTGCGTCCGCTTAACCCTGAGTCTTCTCCTATACTCACTGCATAGGAGTCTGGGTGGGTCCAAGAGCTGGTCTGAACAGAGTGGCGAACAGAGAAATCACTTTCTCTGCTGGAATTAGAACACCGGTCGTCCAACCCGTAATTTCACTGACTGCTGTGTTCCTTCGCGCTTCGTACTATTATTTGATGCGATATAAATTTTAAAATTGGTTGTGTTGATGTTTATAAGTAAGGAAAACATTTGATTTATAGGGAGTTTGATTTTACAGATTAATCATGCCGTTAACACGGTACAGCTTTCACTGCATTCCACCTGAACATTTTCCCAAACTACACGACCTAGGTGGTATGGATTAAATTCACCCTCCAGTGTGTTCTATAAACAACGGATATGGAGCAGTAAAAGGAATTTCTCGAGTTCGATTCGCTCTGCACGTTTGCCAGTATTTAATGGTTGCCCGTTCTTTTACTACTTTGTACTTTCGGGCGCTCTGTGTCTAGAGGAACTACTTCTTAGGAGTTATTCCACGAGCGTTGGTCTAGGAGCTGGATTTGACGTAACCCAGTAATGTACGCATCCATAATTTAACATGAGACGCGGCCCTGAAATCCCGATAAAATCAATATAGACATTTAGTTACACAGACATGATATTAAAATGAGGTTAATTAGGCTCACTTGACGAACTATGCACATTTGATTTTATTGTGTTCTGAAGTCAACTTCAGTGCACTGCATAACCGAAAGAGTGGTTGCAGTGTGGAACGCTAGTCAAAGTGGGGTACTCTGGAAGACGGCTACTGCAGTATTGGCTACTCCTCAAAGGCAACACCACTGTTATCGCCTCATTGTAGAGTTTCTGAATCATTTTAAATTCAATTGTATTTACAATATTCTAAACGTGGTTCACTAGTGTGTTAATAGTGGCGAGATATTTTTTATCACATATTCGTCGTCTCATTGACCAGTGTCTATATATCTGTGTTACATAGATACTTCTACCACATTTTAATTGTTATCTATATTTATTAAATAATCATAATTTTAAGAAAATTTTTAAACTAAACGAAGCTAATTTTTCTACTGTTAAATCTCCATAGAAATTATAACAAATGTTACAGAAGGCTATAATATTAAAAAATAATGATATGGACATTGTTATGCACGCAAGCGTGCTCGCGCACAAGTATTTTTCTGCACACGCAACTTTAAAATAAAATTTAAAGAACCAAGAGATGTTGAACCGGGCACAAAACAGTAAAAGAACTGGGGATAGTGACCACTTGTGATAAACATCCCTCGTATAGGACCAGAAATATTACTAAATTGCCATAAAATATAATATTTTATGAAACATCAGAGCATAACAAATAATTTTCTTATTTTATTTGGATTAGTGTCCAATTTATCCCCAAGGAGCTAAAAACTATTTCGTTATAGTTTTTAAAGTTTGTTCCAGGATTTAGCTAAAGTTGATTTTGCGTGTGAAAGGTAGACTCGTCGTACAATTTTCGTACTTTCAAATTATAATTTCGTTTACAGATTTATAGGCAAAAGTGAAAGCATACAAAAAAAACCTTCTAAATAATTGACTTAACTAACAATATTGGCTCCACGCATGGGCCTCCATGTTTCTGGGAATGTGTTTAATTTACAGTTGCTTTGTACACATGATTATAACATCATACGTTTATCCTGCACTGAATTTGTGTTTTATGACTACAGAAAAACCATTATAACTTAATTAATTTATTTTTTTGTGTTTTGTGAAGTTATACCTTAGTCCAGTTTCTACCTAGACAAATATATCGCTGTCCTGTATCAGTTACATCGATCTGTTTGAAGATGGCTGGGCAAATAGTCGAAGTTTATTTTGTGAATAAACTCCACTCATATACAGAATAATCATTTATTTACCATTAAGTATGTGATATATATATAAATCTTCTGTACTGTGAATGATTGAGAGGCAATAGGTATAAAAATGTTTTGTAACGCACGTGACAAGTATTTGTCCTTTCATACAATATCACAAGACCAGTTAAGATCGAGAGAATTCAGACCGGAAATATTTCTTGCATGTAACATAATTTAAGAAACTGGAAACCCCATAAAAATAAATTAGTACATTGCATGAAATATGTGTCTCATTAAGTGACTGGGTAAATTAGATTCCGACAACGGACTGTCGGTAATTATACTTCAGTTTTCAAAGAAGGTGGTAATTGAGAATGTTAGCGAGTAATAACTTTTAGAAAGGGCTGTATTTCTCTCGGATATGGTACAGATGTAACGAATCAAAGGGTATAATGTATGAATATGCAGTTTGAGACTTTCATTGATTAGCATCTATAATAGCAGAATTTATATAGGGCACCAGTACAAAATTGTAATACACATTTCCATTCCTGTTAGAGTGTCATAATTTGAGCACCACCTTTTACGCCCAGTCTGGGGATTTTTCAGGAATGTGACGCATCTCTTGCTGGCCTAAATACCCCTTAGTAGTTAAATATGTAAGAAAAGGGATGTGTATTTATTGCTGTCTGTACAGAGCAGCTCTATTTTCTGATCAAGGTCCCTCGCTACTTTCTTAATTTCCTTCCCGAAGTTTGGTTTCGTGTGGATGAACTCTATTGGAAGGAACATCCCATATATTTTGCAGTCTTTGATTGCCTCTCGATGATGATGTGTGGGTTGAAGAAGGGAAGTCCGTACAGCAGTGAAAGAGGAGAATATGAATGACCTTGACAGGACATGAATTACTTCGACAGATGAAATCCCTCATGCACAATAAGCTAGCATTGTCACATTTTGTTATTTTAGAATCACGGTTCCAATTACCCGCTGTCCTAACTGACAGATGTTCCTCTTATTTCGTCAGTACTTCCAGACGAATGGTTTGAAAGTATATTTAAAAATCACAGGACTTATCGTCATCTTTTATTCCGCATTAAATGAGATTTGCAACTTATACATTATTAAATCTATGAACTATGGTGACAGAACAGCCTTAGGATAATAGAAGACAGATTTTGGTACTTGCCGTATGTACGTATATAACCTTCAGGATCTAGTACAAGATAATTAATTATTTCTGTATTTGTTATTTATTTGCCAGCGTGGCTCAAAATAGTCCACAGAGGCGGGCTGTTGTGAATCTTCAATCCAATAAATGCAAATAACTTCTTAGATAGCTGAGTGATTCTTCTATTCCATGAATTTAGCTAGATTCAGTAATAAATTGAGATGAATAGTCTTTATAGGTTCGTACTTTCTACATAAAAATTTGTCGAGCATAGTAGCTTTTATATTTTCGGAGAGCCACACTGCCTTCAGAGGCCTTGTCTATGATTGGTCCACTTCCTCAGCCTTAAACGTTGTCTTCTGCCTACCAGTCTACACGGCGCCAAAATTCAGACGAATGCAATAATCCTCACCGCCGTGAAAGCGAAAAATCTCGCTTACTAGCATTTAGATCCACACTAAGTCGGACGTGTAAAATAGATGTTTGAAAGCGAAGAACGGGACATATAAATCAGATATTTAGGGACAATGGTTCCCGAACCTTGGGTCGCGATCCAAGATTGGTTCGCTACGACATTTGATGGGCCTCGTTGCGAAAGTCAAAGCATAGAAACATTTATATGGTTTTTAATTTAGTCGAGTTTATGTTGTCGACGAATTTTTTGGTTTGCTTTTGTGGTTTTTACTTTATTCACACAACAATTAATAAAATATACTAGTATTTAAAGAAATAATGTTTCTAATTTGCCCTAGATTGACAAACTGTGGTTCGTCAAGCGGAATAGTTTGGTTGCGAACAAAAAAGTTTGGAAATCGCTTTTATAGAATAAAAAGGCTTTTTTGATGTAGGTTATTGTATTAAATGAATGGTTTCATAGGATATTAAAGCCGCGAATCGGCTTCACAAAATCAATTATAAGTCAGTGAATT